GCACGTAAACATGTCACAGTAGAGGCTTCAAATACAAATATCAACCTGAAATATAATATGTCCTCTTTAAGCAACTACACTGGCCTTGTACATGCGCTGCACAGCAGGTGCACTTCAAACTGTGGTGTTAAAACTTCACAAAGGATATTTTTTGTTAACGTCTGTTGATTTTGACAGCTAGGATCTCGAGTGTCTCTTGGAAACTGAACTTCATCCCATGCTCCAATGAGCCTTTGTTTGAGAGGAAGGAAATGTCCATGTCAAAGTGACCTGAGTGGGGTGCTCCACAGACAAGTGACTTCTGCCGAGTTGACCTTTACCTGCAGCTTAATGAGATCTCCTCCCCCTGACGCTCCTACCCCTGCTCTAATCCTATCAAATCCCTTTATTTCTGTCTGAGTGGAGGGACAATCTCAGACAGGGAGGCTCGGTTTAAGAACAGAGCTTTCACACACTAGACCAAACACCATGTACTGGGTTTGAGTCATAGGTTTGAGTAGAAGCTAGCACCTGAGGTATCACATTATGTATCAGGGAGGAGGACATCAAGAAGGCTAGACTAAAATACACATACTGTATAGAGTCAGAGTTAGTCAGTCTGTCTTCTATCTGTCCACATTGGTTCTATGAATATTAGCCTACTGCCTCTTGGGATGCCCTGTTGAACTTTTAAACCTGATGATCATACTAAACAATCTAATCCCAATCCTGATCACAGTTGTGGATTCCCGCATTTATTCACACATGATTGAAAGTGATATTGACCATAAAGGATGCTAAATTAAATCTACCGCTGCAGTCCAGAGTAGAGTAGTAGCAGAGGAGCAAAACAGAGGGTGAGTTCACAGAATTCAGATGAAGGAGAATCTCATTTTTACGTCTTATATTTACGCTAAATCGTGTTAATGAGCAGAAACGTAGCACAACGTCAAAGGGAAAGCACTGCTCTGGAAATAAAACCAATCTTATTTAGATGTTAATATGAACAAGAAGAAGTACAAGCAGCAGCTCCATTCATTTCAATGTGATAGTGCAATAACACTATGTTGTCCCTAAACATCAATTAATAATTCTGATAAATAATTGTCACTCAATATTCCTTTTAACTGATTATGATTTTAACCATAATCTTGATTTACAGCCCTTTTTGTACGTTTTGAAATAGTCACAATAAATTAAGCCAATTCTGCTGTTTACGATATTCTACAAACAGTAATTCATACTTAGCGCTGTGCTTCAATTCCTTAGTGGCTTTTGTAGCATTTTATCGCTGTAAATTGTATATGTTGTTTATTTCTTCTGGAACTGCAATGCATGTGGAGTCCAAGACAAATTCCCCCAAAGGGACATTTAAGTACAACTTCTCAAGCGCTCTGTTAAATTCAGCCTATTTATCAGCCACCTGCGTATACATCCGTGCACTGGGTCTCAACAGAGGTATTAAACCCATATGTGAGAAGAGAAACAATCCAAACACACACTCACAATCTGGACATCCAACCATAGATTAGTGGCCCAGCTGGATGCAGATGTGTATGAACACACACAGACACACACACACATGTCTCAGGGGAGAACAGCCCCAGTGCAGCCGTTACACACACACACACACACTACCTCCACTGGCTCGCTTACACACTTCCTGGAAGAGCCTGTCTGCACTTTTGCACTAAGCGTTATATTTAACCCTCAAACCCTCAGGATGGGGTTGTTGCCTTTGTGTGTCACAGGATCACCAGACCTAAGTTATGGCCTCCATGATTATGTCTCATGCAGGGGGGGGGGGGGAAGCACATATTAAAACTGACTTTGCCTTTGTCCATTTTATAGGCAAATCCATAAACTAAGGGTAGTCTGACATTTATTCAAAAATATTTCAGTGAATAACTTTGCTTTAGTGCCATAACAGCACTTAAAACCCTTAGGACACATTTGGCTTGTTTCACACAATGACAAGGCCAGCAAATTAAAGTGTGGTTTTTTCACAATGTTTGACAAATTACTCATTGTGAGTGCTTTTCAAGGGTCACACCTCTTTAGGATTCACATTTCTAGCACAACATGTATCTATAAACACAGCATAAGATATAGTGGCCTGTATGCAAAATAATTCAAGAGTTGTTCAGTAAAAATCAGAGGCAAAAAGATTGCACTGATGACATAATTGATTGGTGTTATCTCTCAGGGTTGCACTTTGCCCACAGCTGTTGGTCAGTGACAAGATACCTGGTAACTGACTTGGTTTGCAGACTGTATGTGTTTTGTATCACTTACATTCTTAAAATACTAATGTAGCTAGTTATAGATTTCTCAACAAAAGCAAAAACCCTGGTTAATGGGTAACCTATGAGAAAATGCCTTATGTGTAGACAGGCTGATATGCTAGCTGCAGCCATTAAACAAATAGATAACAAAATCCCTGTGGTGCAGTTAGGAGAAGAAGGGGGAAAACAATTGAAATCGTTCTGAGTCAATCTTAAAATCAACATACAGCCTAGACCTTGAACGTATCATTGTTTTGGCTTGAATTTAACAAGCAGGATACAACTTCTTCCCCTAAGAATCTCTTTCATTGACAGTTTATTTCCTCTCAGGCTACACATTTCATGCCTATTTTTGCCATATTGACACACCTAGGTATCAAGGTGCTTCAAAACCACCTGTTGCTCAAACGTCCCTCACGTTAGCTTGCATTCAACTCTTGCCTCTCATAACCAAGCAAACACAGTATGTTTAACAGAGCTTGAAACATAACTTACTTCCATAGCGTGGCTTTTGTAGAGCTGCGGTTTCTTCATGGTACATCTTGCGTCGTTTCCTCCACCCGTGAAGTCTTCTGCCCTAGAAATAACTTCACCTACAAGCTAACGTGACAGCGGTATGCCGCGCCTCTCGGGATATATTGATACCAATAAAGAAAAACACGCTGTGTCGTTAACTAACTGGAAACATAAGCTGGAAATATGGTTCGAATTTCTTCAGAAGTTACATGAAAGCGCCGACTGTCACATGCGGCAGACAATCCCCATGGTGTGCACTTCTTCGGACTGAACCAAGTGTGTGTGCCTTATCTTTCCCCGGCAACGGTCTGACTGAAATGATTGACAGGTGAGATTTAGCCTTGCGCACCACCTGCTGGACATGAGGTGGCTCGTGCTGCATTAAGTCATTTAATTGTATATTAAATGTTATCCGACTTTTACATTGTGTTGGCTATATGGCCAGATATATGACAGAGTACACAGATGTTCAGTTTTTTTTCTAGTTTTTTCTATTTTATGGTTGTTTATTTTCTACTATTTTTCGTTTTCGCATTATGTGCAATGCCTGTGATGAAAACATTTTCCAAATCGGGATCAACAAAGTAAATCTTATATCTTATATACCTACTGCCACAAGGGGGCCTACTGTACTCATATCCAGTGGTGTAACAACTACTGAGATGTTATACTATAAGTACAAGTTTCAATACTAAATTGAAAAAAATACTCTGTTACAAGTACGTAGAAGTCCTCCATTCAAAATATAACTTAATCAAAAGTACAATTGATTTGATTGATTTTAGCATCCAAATACACTAGAAGTACCAAAAGTATAAGTAGGCTACTTGTTTAGCGTAATGACCCATTTTACAGTCTTATTTATTAAATAACTGGAATATAATTATTAATGCATTCATATGTTCATCACAGCTGCTGGAGGACCTTATTTTAATTACTCTATATACTGCATCTGTATGTTTTAAATCCCATATAATGGTTGAATTATTAGTTGATTTAAAATGTGTATTAGCTAATAATCTGAATATGTAAAGTAACTAAAGCTTTCAGAAAAAAATAGTGGAGTAAAGTACAATATTGGCTACATAATGAAGTGGAAGTTAAAATTCAAAGTGTCATTGAATAAAAACCCTTAGTCAAAGTACAAAGTGCCTCCAATTTAGAGGCAGGTGTGGCCAAAATGAACAGAAAAAATAAATGTGGCCTATGGGTAACGATAAATGGCCATTTAAAATACGTTTTGATTAAATGAAAGGCTTCCACATTTATATATATTCTACAAATTATGTTATCTAACGGGATAAAAACACCTATTTGTATAAGTTAACCCAGTGTCACAGTATTATTGTGTTAGTTTATCATTTCCATTTCATAATTTGCCCACTAGATGGCAGCATTAGTTTGATAATATTGACCACAAGGAACACAGTATTCAGGGTGTGTTTTTGGGCATGTCCTCAGACTCAAGGACCTGGTTTACTGAGAGCACAAATTAGGTTTGACGGCCTTATTTATGTGTTTGCAGAATTTTACATTTAAATGATATTATTTTATTCAAATAATGCATAATTGAGACTCACATTTGGATCTTGATGCAAATGCCTCATCATGTAAGTGCAGTAATGTGATTTATAAACACATTTTATTCTTAGGTTGGAGACAAGAGTTGTGAAATCAAAGCCCGGCATAATTTGCTAGAGAACATAGCTTTTATTGTATTGAATATATGTTCAAAAGCAGCACAGTCTGATATCCCTGCTTCTCCAATTAAATAACATAATTCACAGGGCATCATTTGGCAAATATATCTTCACATATTTTCACACTTATGGACCTTTCAACGTACAGCTCAGTCACTCTATGACTGGCAGGCCCTTCACAATAATATACACAACTTTATTCTCCACATACATTTGATTACCTCCATAAAATGGATGAGAAACTTACAAGAGTGATACATTCACATTTTTCCTCAACAAAAATCTGAATATTGCCATAATTATCTGCCATAAGAATTCACACAAAGACGACAAAGTTGAGCACAAAAGAACAGAAGTTTTCTTACATACATGCACGTTTTTGCACACACGCGCACACACGCACACACACACACACACACACACACACACACACACACACACACACACACACACACACACACACACACACATATGCTCTCTCATACATACATACATACACACACACACACACACACACACACACACACACACACACACACACACACACACACACACACACACACACACACACACACACACAAATACAGTACAGCAATAACCCAAGTACCTGAAACATACCAGGTAAAATCATTTATCCCCAATATAAGACCACAGGTAGATCTGTCACCAATTAAGGTTTTATCTTATTCAGAAAAATACAGATCAATACTTCTGTTATTGATAATACTTATTCTTGTTAATCTAGCGTTAGATTGCCACTGAGCTAAAGTCATCATTTTTTATATCAGCACATTTTATTAGATATTTTTGCTATATCTTTGTTCCAAAAATACTGAAATCATATGGTATTGTGTTATATATATCTAAATAATTCCAATTTCAATTGAAAATGTTAGAGGTATTTTTACACTTTCAAAGTAGCACTGGTCTAAGATAATTATCTTTGCAGTATACATTGAGGTTCCAATGTTCAAAGATAAGGTACTTAACAGCTAGTACAAGATAGGTCATGGTTTCAAACGTAAGATTATGGCAAAAATAGATTTTAGACAAAAATGTTGGTAAAACAGAGCTAAAATGTGTCATCTGGTGTGTTTGTTTATCTTCAAATGTAAGCATCTGAAGATTATTAGTTTCCTCCAGAGAATCATGGTTGACACCAATTAGCTCTCATAAAGAGGTGGATCTTATTTACATTATTAATTTGTAGTAATTCTCTGTAACTTACACCATTTGATCATGTTATGGTTCATTGTTACCTATAGGAACTATTGTTTGTTTTTTCAGGAGCATACTGTAGTACGCTGATCTTACCTAATACCTGTGTTATTTTAAATGGGAATGTTTAACAAAGGACACTCGCAAATGGATTGACACCCAAATAAAATCGTCCTCATATTTCACTTATATATACACACAGAAATTGGTATGATTATTTAACGTACTTTCTTCCTATTCCGTTTCTGTCTGTTCCTCACAACCTTTGGACACCACATGCCTGTGGGCAGACTGCTGCAGTTAAGGAGAGGCACATTTCAAAAAAGGCCATTCAGTTTTTTAAAAGGAAGTAGCGTGACATGTCATTATCAACGTCACTGCCACAAGCAAGGTCCAATAACACAAAACGAAATCAGAGGGAGAGCTCATCAGAGAGAGAGCTCATCAGAGAGCCTTCGTACAATAATACAACACATGGATCGGGACCTGGAGTAACAACATTTGGATTAAATTCATTATTCATTATTTCAACTTCCACAATAACAAAAAGCAGAAAATAAAATTAGCAACCTCAGATTCAAAATACCACACAATTATTAGTACCAGAAAATAAAGTTTTTCAATATGGCCTTTTTGATTCTTTGTTGGGTAGGTAATGCAAAGGGCTTGGCATCATACAAAAGATATCTATTTTGAAAAGGTTGCAGATGTCAGATTAAATGTCATGTCAAGCAAAACAGTTTCTTGTATAAGCATAGGGAAAAGATGTAGGTACAGTACATGTGGGTACCAGTCTATTTTAAGAGATGTTTTGCACATGAACTATGTGTTACTTTAATTTATCTGATTTTTTATTAATGACTTTCTGCACACCGTCTACAACGCTTCCTGTGGAAGAGTGTTGCGGCGAGCCAGCTGTCGTACAGCTGGGTCGTGTGTCCGCTCTGTCTGATCATCTATTCCCCACGTTGTCACACAAGGTTGGCTGTGCTCATTACAGCTTGTTTTTCACTTTTCTCCCCATCTGGCTTGTCTTAATAAGACTGTATCAATATTGAAAGCCTTGAGCCTTAACCATGCAGTGACTCCACACAAGGTTATGGCTGCAGCTGGAAAATGGCAACCAGTCACTGCAACAAAACCCCACCAAAGTTCACCCAAAACATGAGCAAACACTCAGCTCTGTTTGTGAAATCTCCTAAAAATACATTCACAGAAATGCTGAACTTAGCATTGACTAACTAGGAATTGATGTAGATGTATATGATCAATGTAAAACACACTGTGAGAATGGTGGGTTCAGCTTTACCCTAGGTACAGTAGCGAATCGCATGAATAATGTTAAGATATCTGTGAACCAAGCCATTTGCATTCCTTGCTCAACGCTCCCTGGGCTTCCTCTCGGATTCACCCAAGTTCTATTTAGATTTTCTCCCAGCTGATGAACGCCAAGCTGGTGTTACATGAGGACATTCGACTTGGTGTCAGGCAGCCGGAGTGCAACCAGGCCTCCCCCGACGAGCACAGACGAGGCCATGAGGATGGGGATGGACTTTGTGATGCCAACAAGAGAACCGAAAATCAGGTTTCCCAAGACTGCAGCCAGCTTGCAGAGAGCGTTGCAGAACCCAAAGCCTGTTCCTCTGTGGGGTGGAGAGCCAGGGACAGGAGGTAAAGGAAGAGAAAAGAGATAGAAAGGTGTTAGAGTTGACTGAATCACCTCTTTTTTTATGATTATCTCTTTCCACTACTGCATGTATGTATAAGTCCATAAACAAGTCTCAACAAATACGTAAGTCAGTATATACTCTTGTCTTCTCACCTCCTGCTAGTAGGGAATGACTCAGTGGTGACGACATCCAGGGAGTTCCAGGCAGAGATGCTCAGGCCGTTGTAAAGGCACAACATAAAAATCATCATGGACTCACTGGTGCCGAACCACAAAAAGAAACAGCTGATACCCGAAAGCACCATGGAGCCACCTGAGAGACAAAAAAACACACACAAAGCAAGAGTGAAGGAGCAAGAGTTAGTGCAAGCGACATTCGTTTGAACAATGTTCAACTGAATTATAGGCCTAATCAAAATTGCCTCTCATACGCAATGATGGATGCCACATCCATACCATAAATCATTCCAACATCCCGCAGTCAATGTGAAACCCAATTACTCAAGTGCACACATGAAACATGAACCTCCCTCTTCGCTCCGTTCTTACCTAACATGGACAGACGGCCAATTTTGTCCATGAGAAGCGCGGACACAATGTTGCCGGGCAGAACAGCCAGCGTCCCGAGGAAGTTGATGAAGTAAACCCAGTAGGCACTGTAGTCATCATCAAATGTCATCTGGCATCCTTTCTTGTTGTGAGTGAACGTGCTGTTGACTACCTCTGTGCCATCTATCAACTTGCTTTCATCAATGTCTGACAAAGAATACAAAAAAAGACATTTGGAAATAATAAAACACAGCCAATCACAACGCAGTATAGTGTCATATTGTCTCACAGATGTTTAATCTTTTTTTTTTCCACCTAAACACAATTTAACCTGATGAATCTGAGCATCAGGAAAGAAAAACCTCTAGCTGTATAGTCGTGTTGATTTAGAAAAGTTAGGAATATTTAATACTTATATCTCACCGGTGTTGTAGAAGAAAACATCAATGAAAGTACAGTTACGGAAGAAGGAGCCCACAGATTTCACATCATCAAAGTAGCAGTTACGAAAGGTAGAGTCAATGAATGTGACGGACTTCAGCTTCATATTGATGAATCTGAAATAAAAAATAAAAAATGTACATCCTGTTTGTACGTACTTTCACTGTAAAACAGTTCATATATCCACAAGTTGACTTGTCCTACCGATCGTTGATAAAGAGTCCGTTTTTGTGTATCTGGTTCTCCAGAGTGAAGTTGAAGGTGAAGTCTTCAATCCGTTCGTCACTGTGTATCTTCACTTTGGAGGCATAATCATCTGCTTGAAGGTGTTTGATGACATCAGGGAACCAGACTGACAGACCATAATACCTGCAACCACAACGTATACAGGACGTTACAAATCTTTGGATACATGTAGAAGAATCTTGATCTGAGGTTCAAACACTGCTTTCAGACGCAGTAGAAAAAAACAATAGACACTTGTGGTTTCTCTTTGATTTCAGAGAGTGTTTTGTGGATGTTTTTTCATCTCTAGCTGCTTTCACTCCCTCTTACTTTTTCTTCCCTCTGAGACACCAATGGAACAGTATTGATCCACAGACTTTGATTGATTTCGATACCATGTGACTTCTGCACAGCACAGGGATCAAGATGACAGAAATACAATGTGGCCGCTAGTGCTAATATCAGACCAGGCAGGGAAATGAGACTTGACTGATTTTTCTCAGACACTAATGACATCAACAGGAAGCTCACCCGAATGACAGCGTGAACCACACTATAGCCAGTCGCGTCATGTTTTCTTTCATAGGGTAGTTGAAGCACTTCATGAGATTCAGATAGATCTAAAGAGAGATATGATACAGATTAGACTTCATGTGTTTAAAAAAATACATTTGGTTTTGGGGCAGTGAGTGAAAATTAACTTACCCCGTGTATTTCATCCTTTATCCTAAAGAAAAACTTGGAAACTCGGTTGCGAGACTCTGACTCCATTTCCACCAATTCATCCAGCTGTTTGGGTATTTTGATCCTGTTTACCTGAGGAAGCAATTAAAAGAGAAAAAGATGATCACAGTATAATACATCAAGTGCATTCGACATCCATTTATTGACATCGTTGATGATTTGGAGCATTTTGAAGGATGTTACTTGAGTCATTTTTTTATTTTCCTTAGTTCAAACAAGATTGAGAGCACATAACTGTAATAAAAATCATTGTAAACAGTACATGATCATTCGGAGAAACACGTGTTGACTAAGAGGCTTTCCCAAAATGCAGCTCACAACGCAAATAAGCCTGAACGACACAAAACAGCTTTCAGAACCTTCATAATTCAGATTTGATCCTGCACAGTGAAAGCGTTAAAACCTGTCCCAGCGGTGGCAGAACATAAGCCTCTTTGCTTTTCCTTAAGCATCAGGAAACCCAGCCAAGACAGCGCACAGCAGAAGCAAACACTCACAGTGAAGACTTTCTCCGGTTGCCCACGTGCTCTCATGTTGGTGTCGTGGATCTGTTTGAGGATCATCCAGGCTTCATCATGCTTCCCCACCTGACAGGAGGGAAAGAGAGAGGATACATTCATGGGATCAGCGATGGTCTCGCTTAGTCAAGGACAGCGACACATCCGCAATCATATATATGACTGTACAAGAGTATATTCCTTTGATTTCTCCAAGATGGGCCAAAATTATCAAAGTCACGACAACGGTGACTCGTTTTACTTCAAAGAGTTTTATTATGCAGCAGCAGTACTGTCTGTCACAGATCTTTTTTTTAAGACACATAGCCTATAGTAAGACCTGCACCCAGAGTTTTATCACTCACACCTTTTGATCTCATTTAACATTGGATGGGAAATGTCCAAGAACACTTAAGACTAAGACTAAATATTATTTAGGAGATTCAGAAAGGAATGAGCGCGGACATTAGGGGACAATGACACAGCACCATGAGGCTGCACTATTGAAGATACAGCTATTGCAGCAGATTCATGAGAGATGAAAGAGAACTATCTTTTAACCGGTAATAGATAGGGGAAATTACATTACCTCAAGGTAGAACCTGGGACTTTCGGGCATGAAGGTAAGAGCAACCACCGCACACACACAGGGCAGAGCACAGACGACCACAAACACCCGCCAGCTGTGAAACTGGTACGCCGAACCCATGCTGAAACTCCAACCTGTAAACCATGGCACACAACAAGAATTACAATCAGATCGAAGACATGGGAGAGAAGAAAGTTAAAACATTTTTAAATATGTTTTCTTGCAAACGCTGCTGCAATAGTATTGTGTTCAATGTTAATATAATGTGCTGCATATGTCTGATGTAATCTTATTGAATGGAAGCTTTTTGATGAGGCGGCTTATCAGATGTGGCATATTGTTATAATTTAGTATTTAGCATATTTGAAGCACAGATAATTGTCTCATGTTAATCAAAAATATGAACACATCAAAGTGCTATAAGACTTTTTTTTATCTAACAAATGCTGCTAATTTGTAATTAAAATGCTATGGTACTTTTTCAATGTTTGGATTATTTAATATTAAGATTTTTAAAAAGCCGTTATTTTTGCATTATTTGAGCCACCTCTTTATTTTGCTGATATGTTGGTGCTTTACTCTAATGCAAAACCTTCAAGTATTTCTGTAGCCAGTCCCAAACTCACAGGGAATAATCAAAGCATATATTGTTACATAATATACGTTTTGACGAAGCAATGACTAAAAAATATTGAGTGTAATGTTAATACTGTATATCCCTATCAGAGGGGGATCTGGGCCACTTGGTAGGCTGATTTGTATGTGCGCTGAAATGATATGAGCAGAAATCGTACTGGGAACACAAAAGGACTGCAAATAAAAGATGGCTTTTAAACGAGAGCAGCAGCCGGAGCAGAGTGATGTGTAAGCTCGGAGATGAATGGCTCTGCTGAGGGAGCTGAGAGAAGTGCACAGGGACGGGTTAATTGAATGTGTAGGAAACAAATTGAGTGTTTTCTGCTAAGTTAAATCTTGTTGCACCTGATCTCAGCCCGCAGGCAATCTCCCAGACTCATTAATCATTGTAACGTGCACACAAACACTCTCTCTAACACACATATACATACATACATACATACACGTAAACACACACACACACAGAGACCTATACAATCTCACAAAAGGGGGAGATGCACATAAATACACATTCTCAAAAATACTTGGAGTGAACCACATCAATTCATGATTTAAATTACCATATGCAGATTACATTGTCACGACTAACATAATGCCATACCGACAAATCCCACCCACACATATAGTATAAATGATAAAAACACAAATACACATACAAAATTACACATCCTGAAATCATCCTTTTCCTTATGCAAAAATACTTAAAGTGGACCTATCATGCTATATTTGAAAAATATATCGTAGGGCCATACCTAAAAAAGTTTTTTTTTCAAAATAACAAACAGATCATCCATTGTAGCCATTCCTCATATTGCTCAAACCCCTCTTTTGCAGGCCTGTTAGAGAAATGCAGATTGTGGGTCCTTAGCTGGAAAAAAAGAAAGACGAGGAGGCGGAGCTAATGCCTGATCAGAATTCTACCGGAGATAAAGTTAAATTCGGTTGTGATAAAACGCCATCCTGTTTAAACCACGTCAAGGATTATCTCTGAAATAGTATGGAGCTCAAATGCTTTTTCTCTGGTTTATCACAAGGTGAGTTATTTTTTTATTTCCTGCTTTTTAAACACATGTGCTCTTCAGTACAGGTTAGCTCTGAGTGTTAGCGAGGCTTGCTAATGTAAACAAAGACGTCCAAAAGACGTCAGGCATTGTTTCTGATAGCAACTTTCTGTGAGTCCACCGACATCACCTCGGATGGACCCTTCAGTTCGGATGGAAATCTGTATCCGCTCGCTGTACACCCATTTTTAAAAGATTTGGGTACGGAGGAAAAGAGAGAGGGTTTTATTTTCTGACGCTGCGTGAGTTCCCCGACGCACCGGGGGCACATATTTATGTATAAAAGACATCACAAAGTGCATTTTGCATGATAGGTCCCCTTTAAAGCATTTTCCCCAAAACAACCTTACAGTATGTATTGTTGCCTGCTTAACTACACGTGTTATTCAAGTTAAGCATTTTCTACATACCTAAAAGAAAATAGCACCTTATATGACTTTAAATCCCTAAAGAAATATTACAAAAAATAAAGTGTTGCTGCAATTTTAATTTGTGGGAGAATATTTAAAGATAGAGTTTATTTTCGTGTCACTTTAAATCAGAGGAGAATTAAGCATTTAAATACAGGGATGGCAGGAAATGCTATCGTTAATGTACAATGTATGTGTAGCTCTGTGTTTTATGCTCTCATTGACTTCATTTGGGAATTTTTTGGAAAGGGGTTGCTGTGTCAGTCGTGACCTCCCACGTTTCTCAACAGATCGTGCTTCATGGAGATGCCGCTCCAAAGGGAATAGCACCATTATCTATCAACAAGCGTAGGAGGGGAGTCAGGGGGTGGGAGGGGGTTAACGCTAATGGTTATGCCAGGAAAAGGCAGTTTGGAATTAATCTCACAGCATATTAAAAATCCGGCTTTGAAAGCAATGCATATCAACTGCTAAAAACAACTATTGCCATAGGAAGTGGGCGTCTGTAAGTCGATAGTGTCAGAAAACGCATCCCAGAAGAAGCCAGAGGGATGGAAATGTCTCCTTGTGATTGGGTTTCACTTTCAAGGTGTCTTTCACTTCACAGTAGGAGTCATAACTTGGAGCCTGTGTGTATTCCCGATTTCTCTGAGTCACTGTTATTTATCCCCCTGCTCTTCTTTGTGTCTGTGTTATGGAGTGATTCAGAGTAGGAAGAGAAAATGTAGAATAAATTGAGAGGAAGAGGCAGAGTAACAGAGAAAAGGGAGGGAAGGCGTTGTTCAGCAGTGATTGCCTTTTCTACAGAAATGTAGCACGGCGTCCTGCCCCTCAGGGTTACTGTTTCACCCATACCATTGGAAATCTCATTACAGGGATTATGTATATAATTGACTGGATCTATGGATGACTGACTCAGCAGTGCTACACTTTCCCATGCCTAGATACTGTAGAGAGAGAGATAGATAGATGGATAGATAGATGGATAGATGGATGGATAGATGGATAGATAGATAGATGGATAGATGGATAGATGGATAGATGGATGGATAGATGGATGGATAGATATATGCCAGAAAAGGCATATTTTAAGATGGCTTTAAAATAAAATGTTGACATTCTGCTGTTTCCAGCTGTTTTGTGTTTATGCTATAAGCTAAGCTAACATGCTTTTGGCTTCAGATACATACATTTTTACACATGTAAAAGTGCTATCATGGTTTGCAGAAAGTATATATAAAGATATAATTCCTTAGTCTGCTTGAAAGGCATAATGTAGTACTAGCAGAGGAGTACCATTGAATTGACCACGACGTGAAGTCCTCGGGGGGTATTTAATCTTTGATCTGTAGAACTCAGCACTGTGTAATGGGGCTGCTATCGTGGTGGGCTTTCTTGGCAGCGAGTAAACTACTCAAACTGTCTCTGCAGTGTGATGGGGATCTATGCTGAGCAGACCTCCTTCAGGGCCCCAGCTGTGAGTCTAACAGGTTTTTTTAGAAGACATTAGGTGGATAAATGAGAGCCGTAATGGTGTATTAAACACCAGTGTTGAGGCACTCGTATCATAACCCATCACTGATACCTTTATGACTTCCTGCAAAGACATACAGGAATCTCTGCAGGAGGCATTTGGGCCCACACACTGTAGTGCTGTGGGTGGCAGTATGCGAGACACGTAGTTCCCACTGAGAGAAAGAGAGGCAGAGTGGTAGTGAGTGTCAGAAAGAATAAGAGCAAAGTAAGGCCACTACCATCCCTTCAATACAACATCACCAGATCTGACAGCAGAGTTTCCTCGTGAAGACTCGTTCTGGTTTCAGAGGGTTATTTGAGTCCTTCAGCCATGTGAGCAGATCTACAGCTGTGTGTGCATTAGTGCATGTGTGTATGCATCTATATAAGTAACTGAGAAGTCCTTAATGGGAAACCCCATGATTAACCTTTCGCTTGTTCCCTTGTGCCATTTTGTGTGTGTTAACTCAGAGGACCTCTTACAATGTCAGATGTTATTGCCTTCAATTTCCCTTGAAGAAGACCTGTCATCATCAATAGCAGCCACCTACCCCACC